CACACTTGTATTATGGATGCTAAAGGCACATCCCTGGCTGTTCTTCCTAGCATCTGTTTCAGACTGACTGCCCATAAGTTTACCCAAATGCTTTTTGAACCTGCTGATACCTTTTGCATCCACAACCCCCCAGGACAATGAATTCAGAAGTTCATCACACATTGCGTAAAATAAAAGTACTTCCTTCCACCTACTTTAAACCAATCTCCTATAGGTTTCATCAAGTGCCCCTGGTTCTAGTGCCACAAGACCTGGTAGAGAAAATTGAACTTAATCAGTACCTTCATGATTTTGTATACCTTCATCATATGCTGCGCCAGACTTCTACTCCAAACCAAGAAGCTGCAAATTTTCTTCTCTCTCCTAAGGCAGCTGCTCTGTCCCTCAGTGATTTTAATTGTCTTCTCTGCAGCCTCTCCAACACCACTGTCAAGATGCAGAAGCCAGAACTACATGCAGCCCCCAAGATATGCACCAGCATGTTATAGAGGGTCAAAACGATGCCCTCTGCTTTGTTACTACCTCCCTTGCTGATGGTGACCACAATTTATTGGCTTTTTTGGCTAACATTGCACACTAAGCTGATGATTCAGAGAACTGCTGATGATGACTCTGAGCTCCTTCCTGAGCTGTAACCACCAGTTCCAAGTTCAGCATCGTACAGGCCCAGTATAGATAACCTTCCCCTACAGGTACCCCACGTTTTCCTACACTGATGTTCATCTGCCACTTATTTGCCCACTTGCTCAGTTCTGCGAGGTCCTTCTGGATTTCCTCACCTTCAGTGAGGTATTCAACAATCACCCAAAGGAATTGAGGATCCTCTGTAAACCTGGGAACTTCACTGCACCTCTCCATGCCTGAGGTCACCCATAGAATGAAAACCAGACCCAGGACCAGTCTCTGGGGTCTTACTGCTGATGCTTATCCATGCTGAAAAATGACCATTAAGGCCTACCCTTTGCATCCTCTGCTTTCACCAGCTCTCGGTCCATAACAAGACATTTCCTCCATGCCCATGGTGACTTAGTTTCTTAAAAGCTTTCAATGGAGAACCTTGTCAAAGGCTGTTTGAAAACCCACATATGTGAAGTCTATTCATCCTGCTACCACATGCTCACCAAGCTCCAGCAGGTCAATGAGGCAGGGCTTGCCTTTATGTTAGCTCTTTTAACTCTTTTCAAAGAAGCTGTGTTTGGCCATGCCTTCAGTGATCTTCTTCTTCGCTGCAGAAGCCCAGGAACAGAGGTCAGACCCACCAGTCCGTGGTCCTCAGGATCCTGTCTACAGCCTTTCCCTAACAGTGTGCCTGGCACAGGTATTGAGCCCCCTGATGTGTACCTCCCTGATTTCGCCAAGATCCCCCTCTTTTAAAAAGTGCCATCACATTTGCCACCATCAATTTCTGTGATACTAAGGGCACTTTCAGCAACGGGATACGCACAGATGTATCTCGGCAATTTCAGATTTAAGATCCTATGGCACCTGAGTAAAGCAATCTGTTCCTTACAGTTTGTTATCAGTTCCTCTGTTTGCTCTAAAGCTATTTCTACTGATATTCAATGTGAGACAACTTCTCAGACAGCTCTTTTGTAGCAAGCTTGTAGTTTGCGAAGCTACAAAGCTCCTCCACAGGAGTCAAGACAGCCAAAAAATGGTTTAGATTTTTCTGTGATGGCTTTATCTTCCATGCCTCTCACACCTTGATCTCTTCTGCTGCCTGTCTCCAAAAGGTTTCTGATGCATTTGAAATTTAATCATATTTGGAAAGTTCACTCTTCAAAAGTCTTATTCTGGCCTGCCTTATTTTGATTTTACATGTAATCTGCTGAAATATATAGTTTTTTGCTCGTCTTGTGTGGATACAGATTCCCCTTTCTGACCAACATCCTTATTACTCTACCAGCCTTCTTTCCCTGCACATTTCCTTTTGCTTTCTTTCTTTAAAAAAAAAAAAAAAAAAAAAAGTCTTTGATATTTTCTTGGTGGAGGTATCCATTCCTCCTGAGCCGCCAATGTCAACACCAAATAACTTCCATACCACCACTGGTCCTATCAGCTACTCTTTAGCAGAGGGACAGAGTCGTACAAGGCAGACAAGTAACAGGGCTTACACAACTGCAACAACAGCCCGAACTCAGGACTAAATGCCAGCTCTACAGCAGGGCAGACATAAGTCTCATTAATTTTATTAATGCTGCCAGTCATAAAGAGCCCATCAAAACGACAGGCTCGGAATTATCATGACTGTTCCTGGGCACATATGTACTGAGTTTTCACAGGTAACTGCATATTCCCAATTTCCAGATGCCCAAACTGAGATGTGTTTCCAGCTCGAAACACATTACGCGATGAAAGCACCTCCTGAGGCACACACCAGATAAAAGGCAGAGGGCTCAAAGCTGCTCCTTCCTGGGGGAATACAGGACCACATCAAAGGGCAGCCAAGATCCCAGGAGAGCAGTGCCCTGTGGCAGTGTCTCCCTTCCAGGGAGCACCTGCAGCCTGGACCTTCTCCCTTGGTTTTGGCACTGCTGAGTGCACAGAGATGCAGTCAAGGTCAAGGCCCACAAGGCTCCTGCCAAGGTCCTGCTGGAGACAAGAGGCAGGGCCCA